AGTGGCATACACAGTGTGATAAGGCATGGTGAGGCTGCCAGTTCTGACAAAAAAGTGGCTGAAAAATATATCCAGGACTTTAACCCTTTGGGGGTTTCGGACATACTACTACGTCTCAAGACCCAGGGTTTTTGACGCACTAGTACGCATGCAAGGCAGTTGCATGCGGATCTCATTAAGAAAATGCCTGGAACTAGTGGTGATGTTAGTGAATTTAAGGCCAGCAAAGGTTGGTTTAAGAGATTTAAAAATCGTAGTGGCATACACAGTGTGATAAGGCATGGTGAGGCTGCCAGTTCTGACAAAAAAGTGGCTGAAAAATATATCCAGGACTTTAACCCTTTGGGGGTTTCGGACGTACTACTACGTCTCAAGACCCAGGGTTTTTGACGCACTAGTACGCATAAATTCTAGCGCCCTCAAATCTAGTGAGAGAAAGCTGGTAGGCCTACATATGTAAGAATGGGTTTATGTGGTCAGTGTGCGCAGTATAAAAAAAATCCTGCAGCACACGGTGCGTAATGAGAAAAAAAAACTTTGACCGTGTTTTTGGATTAAAACAGCGACTTTGCACTGTATTTTTGTATTGTATTTATTGTTGCATTCTAGTTTTCTTGGTCTCATTTTATAGAATGGAAGACTTATTACAGAAATTGAGATGATTTTGACTGGTTTTACAATGAAAAGTACCTTGAAATTGAGCTCAAAGTAGCAGAAATGTTCGATTTTTTCCAGAAGTAAACAAATCATGCCAAGCGTCCAATACACATCAACTGGTGAGTCTAATATTCTTTCACAATTGTGCTGATATTATTTATACCATTTCTACACTAGTGCAGTAGTCTGCATAACAGTAAATCTTATTTTTTTGTAAGAATAAAAATTCAAAGTGGAAAGCCAAAGAAATATAAGAGGGGCCAGGGGATGTGACTAACGAACAGAGAACTTGTTATTTTAGTGCCAGGAATGTCTTGTTTATTCTGGACCCTATTCGGAAATTGACATCTTTTGAAATTTGTGTGAAATTGGCAGAATTGCTAAATTCTGACCACTTTATTGGATAGTTGAAATTGGTAAATGGGTGGTTTCTTGCACTCATTCGATAGAAAAGATGGAGTTCTAGCGAAATAGTTATGATTTTTGCCGACTAGTCCACTGGAATTGGCCGAAAATAGGGCTCAAAGCGGGCAAAATCGCCAATGCGTAAACATCGTCGAGACCGCTAACTTCGCAACAGCATAATTCCGTAAGTTTTCCATCAAATTTCATACTTTTGGTGTCTTTATGATCGGGAAAAGATTCTCTCTCTTTTCATAAGAATTTTTTTTTTTTTTTAAATTTGGCCGACCCTGAGAGCAAGTCTCTTGAGAGGACCTGTCGACCCCCAAAGGGTTAAGGGGTACATAGAGGATGAAAAATTAATACCCCAACAAGTGTTCAGTTGTGATGAAACAGGCCTGTTTTGGAGGAAAGTGCCAAACAGGACCTACATTACTCAGGAGGAAAAGGCACTCCCAGGACACAAGCTTATGAGAGACAGGGTAACTCTCATGTTTTGAAGTAATGCTAGTTTCAATTCAGTTTATTTATTTATTTATTTATTTAGTAATTTGAGCATACATACAGAGGTACAAAAAAATACAGGTAAGAGCAGCATGCCAAAGCCACTTGTATGCATAGCATTACGGGCTGGCTTAAAATTAACTTAAGATTAACTAAGCAATGATGTAATCAGTGATAAAACATTATTGTAAACAGATAACAATAAAGCACAATTCAGTTCAAGTTTATTCTCTATAAGGGTTACAATGTGGGGTTTACAGGTTTTGGATATTGTGTGGTTTACATGTTATAAAATACTAATTACAGAGGGGGCCACTAATACACCTAGCATGGCTAGACATTTCGGGCAGACTTAGATTAATTCTTAACATTAAATCCTTACAGATTATGGTATTAAGGCTAAGTGACTACATCATAATTTGTGAGTTTAGCAATGTGAATGCTTTTGTTTTGACACAATACAAAGTGTCTATATTGGAGTATCATAGGCAAACTTATGACTAGTTAGGATTTATTATTTTAAGATTAAGATTAGTATTTCTGGGTTTATAGTCAGTGGGTGAGTGAGTGTAATTGTGAACCACCAGGTGGTTATCGTGTAGTTAGTTGTCGGGGTGTATCAGGGAGATAAGATGTTTTCTAACTGTAGTTTTAAAAGCTATTAATGTGTCTGCAGTTCTAGAGTTTTCAGGTAGGGTGTTCCAGATTTTTGGTCCTTTGAAATACATTGAATTTTTGTAAAGGTTTAGTCGAACACGGGGAATGTCATAGAGATGTTTGTGTCTGGTGTTATGCCTGTGGATCCTGTCACAACTATCAAGAAAGCATTTTAGGTCAAGGTTAATATTGGAATTTAAGGTCCTGTAGATATAGATTGCACAGTAGTAAGTGTGGATGTTCTGAACAGGGAGTAAGTTTAGATCTCTGAAGAGTGGGGAGGTGTGTTGCCAGGGATGGGATATAGTGATTATTCTTACTGCAGCTTTTTGTTGGGTTATTATTGGTTTTAGGTGTGTTGCTGCAGTTGAACCCCAAGCACAGATAGCATAGGTGAGGTATGGATATATAAGTGAATGGTATAGTGTGAGAAGGGCAGTTTGCGGCACGTAGTATCGTATCTTGGAGAGGATCCCCACCATTTTGGATACTTTTTTTGTTATGGGTTGGATATGGGTGCTGAAATTTAGGTTGTTGTCGAGGTATAGGCCAAGGAATTTGCCCTCATTATGTCTGATAATTAGAGTGTTGTCGATCTTAATGTTAAGTTGCGCAACACCTGCTCTGCTACCAAACATAATATAGTAGGTTTTGCCAGTGTTAAGTGTAAGTTTATTGGCTGTCATCCAAGTCGATATTTTGAGCAGCTCCTCGTTAACAATGGTGTTGAGGGTGGCAAGATTAGGGTGAGAGATGACATAAGTCGTGTTGTCAGCAAAGAGAATGGGTTTCAGGTGTTGGATACGTTTGGAAGATCATTAATGTAAATGAGGAAGAGCAGGGGTCCAAGGACACTTCCCTGCGGAACTCCAGTATCAAGTGGCCATATTGATGAGGCTGTGTCTTTAATGGTGACATACTGATGCCTATTAGAAAGGTAGGATTTAAAATATACAAGCGCATAGTGGGGATTGCAAAGTGAAATCTATACTCGTGTATCACTCTGAAACTCCCAGAGTGTTCAAGAAAAACAGTGTCGTCAAGGCTAATTTATGTGTGATATGGAAGGCAAACAGTAAGGCATGGGTCACTAGGGACATTTTCCATGATTGGTTCTATCATGTGTTTGGCCCCACTGTGAAAAAATACCTCCTGGAAAATAAATTGGACCTTAAGTGCCTCCTGGTATTAGACAGTGCTCCTGCTCATCCTCACGACTTGCAAGAGCAAATTGCAGGGGAGTTGAGCTTCATCAAAGTGAAGTTTTTGCCTCCTAATACCACTCCTCTCCCCCAGCCCATGGACCAGCAGGTCATTTCAAATTTCAATAAACTGTACACCAAAGCAGTGTTTCAAAAGTGCTTTGAAGTGACCTCAGACACTGAATTGACCCTAAGAGAGTTTTGGAAAGATCACTTCAGTATCCTCAGTTGCATAAACCTTATAGGTAAGGCTTGGGATGGAGTGACTTTCAGGACTTTGAACTCTGCTTGGAGAAAATTGTGGCCAGAATGTGTACAAGAGAGGGATTTTGAAGGGTTTGGGGCCAACCCTGAGGAGCGTATACCAGTTGTGGAATATATTGCGTCATTGGGGAAATCATGTACGCGTGGAATCATCCTCACTGGCTTTGTAAACAATGGCACATTGGCTGTACAAGGAGTCGTGGAGTGGCCGGGCCCGCTCAGGCCACGCAGACACGTTTGGGATGAAAACCCTTAAGCGAGTTATTTGGCATTAGCCGCGCCAATATTTTTATGCCAAAGCGAGCCGTTATCCGAAATTGGCACTAACCTGTGATGCCTTTACCTGAGGGCCCACTGTATCATATCTTGTATACTTATCCTTTATTTTTTTTCTTAAGATGTATGTATTACCTATTACCAAACCTTTTTCCATACAAAGTTCAGTCAGAGGGCCCCCCCCCCCCCATTTTCATTTACTTCTGGTACCCCAAACTTACATGCGACCCTTGCTATAACCATTTCTCCCACATTTGCCTTCAAATCCCCTAGCACAGTTGCTCTCTTGGTATGCCCATGAATATACTACAGCCAAGCCTCTTCATTCCTTGGTCTTTGGGTCTCATCACCAGTACCAGACTCATCTGTGTGAAAAGTGCAATGATTCCTATGGACTCTGCCTTCTTATGGTGTCAAGATAAAGACTCTTTATACCAGAGTTATGTCTGGGTCCTTAGCATTGGTAGTTTATGTTTGTCTAAACCTCATCTTGGTGGGTTTGAAGTTTGAGTACATCCACCTTATCCAGACATGATGAAATTGTACTCTGTATAGATGCTGTATTACCTTTGTGGGTTATCTGTATGCTATTTTCTAAGGTTGTAACTTCCATTTTTAATTGCTAGATCCTTAAACTTATTGCCCTAGCTTTTCAACGAGGAACCTTTCAGAACTTTGGGCTGTGTTCCTGTGGTACTCTGTCATCACTTCCCCTCCACCATGTTTAGGGTTAGGGTGTCTGTCAGCCTTATTATAATAGGAATTGCATTATGATAGGAATTGCACTCTTGATCACTTGTGTGATCAAGAGTGAACTGAAGATCAAATGTTGTAATCATCCTGACATAGTGTCATACAGTCAAGTTTATGTTTCACACTCAGAAAGGAGGGCAGTCTACCATAATTCAAATTGTAGAAGTCTTAAACATTTAGCAAAATTTCATGTTTTAAATGATAAAATGTATCTTGTGTGTTTTCTTTGCAGGATTTATTTACTATGTCTTTGATGTTTATATTAATAGTTCATGATTGTTTCAGGTATTTGGTTCTAGTCCAACCTCTGATCTACAGGAGAAATTTGGAGATGTTTTGCTTTTTACTCAACATGTGAGGTAAGGGATTTTTGTTTCGTATATGCTTGCAGAGTATATGTATTTAATACACCTAGACAAAACAAAAATATCAAATTCTTTTGAAATACTTGTAACTATATTCACTCTAAGAAAAATTTTTGTAACAAAAGTAATAGTATTCATTAAAATTTTGTATGTGATGGACAAATTATTGTAAGAAAATTAGTTTCAGATAAAAGATTCAAAAAAAGATACAAAATAACCAATGAATGGGACCCAGTCAATTTTCTCAAAGAATCTGGCAAAAGTGAACCATTTTCAACTCAGTCTAAATCTTCCACCTTCACATATTAATGATAAATATACCTCTTTCCTAGTACATTGGTACCTCGGGACATGAACTTATTTCATTCCAGAAGGCTGTTCGAGTGCCGATACCGAATGAATTTGTTTTCACAAGGAATAATGTAAATTAGATTAATCTGTTTCAAACCCCCAAAAATACACTTAAAAAAACACTTACATGAATACACTTACATAATTGTTTGAGTTTTGAGTTGTTTGTATCCCAAGGTACCACTGTACAGTGGACCCCCGCTTTACGAACGCATCACGTTACGTTAAATCCGCCATACGAAGTATTTGAACGCAAAAATTTTGCCTCGCCTCACAATAAAAAACTCGCCTTACGTGATTCGTCCGGGACACGTCCCACGTGTGGCCTCAGCGCCAGTGTTTACAAGCCAGCCAGTGCGGTCGCATCTACACAAACATTCGGTACATTTCACATTATCCAAGTGTTTTTAGTGCTTGTAACTGCAAAATAAGTCACTTTGGTCCCCAAGAAAACTTCTAGTGTCATCACTGTGGCATTGAAAAAGAGATTAAGGAAATGTGTGCATAGTGGGTTGAACTGCAAAGCTTTACTGATGAAAATCACCCTGACACAGCTACTGCAAGCCATGTTGGCAACCTGTACAACGACAATGTTATGGCCCATTTTAGGAAAGTCTTAAAGGAATGGGAGGTACAGAGCTCTATGGACAGATTTATTGTGCAACAGAGGTCCATTGACTCTCAAGCTGGTCCTAGTGGCATTAACCCTTTGAGGGTTTTCGTCGTACTAGTACGTCTTACGCGTAGGGGCTTTTGACGTACTAGTACTCATAAATTCTAGCGACCTCAAATCTAGTGGGAGAAAGCTGGTAGGCCTTCATATGAAAGAATGGGTCTATGTGGTCAGTGTGCACAGTCTAAAAAAAATCCTGCAGCACACGGTGCATAATGAGAAAAAAAAAACTTTTTCCATTTTTTTTTAATAAATCAGCGACTTTGCAGTGTATTTTCGTATAGTATTTATTGTTGTATTCTAGTTTTCTTGGTCTCATTTTATAGAATGGAAGACATATTACTGAAATTGAGATGATTTTGACTGGTTTTACAATGAAAGGTGCCTTGAAATTGAGCTCAAAGTAGCAGAAATGTTCGATTTTTACCAAACTTCAAAAGTAAACAAATCGTGCCAAGCGTGCAATACACGTCAACTGGTGAGTCTAATATTCTTTCACAAGTGCACCAATAATATTTATACCATTTTTTACACTAATGCAGTAGTCTGCATAACAGTAAATCTTATATTTTTTGTGAGAATAAAAATTCAAAGTGGAAAGCAAAAGAATATAAGAGGGGCCTTGAGACGTGACTAATGACTAGAGGAAATGTCATTTTAGTGCCAGGAATGTCTTTCTTGTTTATTCTGGACCCTATTCCGAAATTGGCATCTTTTGAAATTTGTGTGAAATTGGCAAAATTGCTAAATTCTGACCACTGTACTGGATAGTTGAATTTATAAATGGGTGGTTTCTTGCACCCATTTGATAGAAAAAATGGAGTTCTAGCGAAATATTCATGTTTTTTGTCGACTAGTACAGTGAAATTGGCCGAAAATGGGGCTCAAAGTGGGCAAAATTGCCGATCCGTAAACATCGCCGAGACCGCTAACTTTGCGAGAGCATAATTCCGTAAGTTTTCTATCAAATTTCAAACTTTTGGTGTCGTTATGATCGGGAAAAGATTCTCTATCTTTTCATAAGAGAAAATAATTTTTTTTTTTTTTAAATTTGGCCGACCCTGAGAACGAGTTTCGGAGAGGGCCTGTCGACCCTCAAAGGGTTAAAAGAAGAAATGAAGTAACCCTGGAAAAGGACTTGCTGCCTCAAGTCCTAATGGAAGGGGATTCCCCTTCTAAACAATAACTTCCACACACTCCCCTCCTCCCATCCCATCAATCATCACCAATCTTCAATAAAGGTAAGTGTCATGTATTCTATTCTTAGTAGAGTAGTAATTGTGCATGTCTTATTCAGTTTGTGTGTATTAAAATTAATATTTCATGTAAAAATTTTTTTTTTTCATACTTTGGGATATCAGGAACGGATTAATTTGATTTCCATTATTTCTTATGGGGAAAATTAATTTGGCTAATGATAATTTCGGTTTACGATGAGCTCTCAGGAAGGGATTAATATCGTAAGGCGGGGGTCCACTGTACTTTACTACCCAAGAAATTTTCTTCCCTTACCTGGAGGTCATTCTGGGGGGTAAATGCACTAGTGACCCAGTCCTCAATCAGGCCTGTTGGTGGATTTGGGCCTGATCCACCAAGCTGTTATTGCTGGCTGCATGTAGTCCAGGATATGAACCACAGCCCGGGTGATCAGGCCCTGACTTTAGGTATCTGTCCTGTTCCTTATTTAACCCTTTGACTGTTTTCGACGTATAAATACATCTTACGAGCCAATGTTTCTGACGTATATATACTCAATAATTCTAGCGGCTTCAAATCAAGCGGGAGAAAGCTGGTAGGCCCACATGTGAGAGAATGGGTCTGTGTGGTCAGTGTGCACCACATAAAAAAATCCTGCAGTACACATTGCGTAATGAGAAAAAAAAAACTGATCGTTTTTTTGGAATAAAACGCCGACTTTGAGGTGTATTTTCGTATAGTATTTATCGTTGTATTCGCGTTTTCATGGTCTTAGGTGATAAAATGGAAAACATATTACAGAAATAGAGATGATTTTCATTACGTTGACGATGAAAACGACCTTGAAACTGAGCTCAAAGTAGCGGAAATGTTCGATTTTTACCAATGTTCAGGAGTAAATAAATCACACCACACGTCCAATACACGTCAACTGGGGAGTCTAATATTCTTTCACTAGTGCACTGATATTATTTATACCATTTTTACAATAATGCAGTATGCATAACAGTAAATTTTGTATTTTTTTGTATGAGTAAAAAATCAAAATAGAAAGCAATAATAATATAAGAGGGGCCTAGAGATGTGACTAATGAACAGAGCATATGTTATTTTAGTGCCACGAATGTCTACCTTGTTTATTCTGGACCCTATTTTGAAATTGGCATCTTTTTTAGTTTGCGTGAAATTGGCCAAATTGCCAATTTCTGACCACCATATTGGGTAGTCCAAATTAGTAAATGGGAGGTTTCTTGTACTCAGCTGATAGATAAAATGGAGTTCTAAAGAAATAGCTATGAGTTTGGTCAACTGGAACAATGGAATTGGCTGAAAATAGGGCTCAAAGTCGGCAAAATCGCCGATACGCATATGTCGCCGAGACCGCTAACTTTGCGGGAGCATAATTCCATGAGTTTTCGACCAAATTTCGAACTTTTGGTGTCATTACCACTGGGGAAAGATTCTCTATCATTTCATAAGAATTTTTTTTTTTTTTTTTCAAAAAATTGAGCGACATAGAATGATAGTTTCAGAGAGGGGCCTGAAACAGTCAAAGGGTTAAGACAGCCAAGGATCTATTGGTAATTTCCCTTATGTATGATGGGAAGGCTGTTGAACAGTTTTGGACCCTGGATACTTTTTGTGTTTTCTCTTAGTATACTCGTGACAACCCTACTTTTCATTGGGGAGGAGGGAATGTTGCACTGTGTGCATAGCTTTTTACTTTCATAGGAACTGAATGCTGAGAGCAGATTTGGGACCTGTTCCTTTAGGATTTTCCAGGTGTAGATTATGATTTATCTTTCATACCTCTATTCCAGGGAGTACAGGTCAAGGGACTTCAAGTGTTCCCTGTAATTAAGGTATTTGACTGAACTAATCTGTGCAATGAAGGTTCTCTATATGTTCTTTAGATCTGAAATTTCACCTGCCTTGAAAGGGGCTGTTAGTGTACAGCAGTACAGTAGGGCCACACTTATATAGCAAGTTAGGTTCCAGGCTACCGCCTTAAAGTGGAAATTGCTGACAAGCGGAATGCCATTTTTTCCACTCATAAATGCATATAAATGCCAGACAACAAGTTTACACTAACATAAAAAAAATAAACACGCAGTGCACTTATTACTTACCTTAAAATATTAATATAAATGTGTGAGAAGTGAGTAGCAGTGTATTTATTGAATAAAGTCATGAGATGGCACATCATCATCCTCTGACTCTTAAAACAATTTTATTCGTTTTGGAGATTTGTGTGAAGCTCTTGAAGGAGTGTGTGTTGCTGTTGATGTTGAAGACTGTTCAAGGCTAGCTGTTGATGTTGAAGGTTGCCACGATACTTACAGTAGGAAAGCATTGAACTTTGCCTCATGGATTTTTTTCCTTTCCCTTAAAATTTCTTATAGCATGTAACATCATGGGAAAGGGATGCATTCACTGTTGAACTTCGTTCAAAATTTGAATCAGTCTTCTCAAAAATTGTTATTGCTTATGTGTTGTCTCAGCCATAGACATACCACATTCACTAAGTTGATTCATTTCTAATTTGGCATTTAAAGGAAGAGGCTTACAACTCCTCTTTTTATCACAACTAAGCTTAGACGCCATCGTCAGTGAGGGCCAACATGTTAATGAAAGAGTAAACGAGACAGAGAGAACAAGATACACGGAGTTCAGACAATGTAAAGAAACTAATAGAGTGGGTGGTGGGCGTTCACTCGATCAGATGAAATAAATGCGTATTAATACATGTCCAATTTTTGTTTGTTCATGTACA